ACTATCCTCGTTATCAAAAAACTAGAATATTTGATAAATGATTGTTTTTAAACCATACATTTTTGAAACTATAGATTATTAAAATTTTAGTTGATTTACGAATCTGGCTAACACGAGCGCGTCATTTCCAAGTTGGTAAAAAGTGTTGTTACGATTACTTTTAAATATTTTTTTACGATGCCACTATTTACGAATATTGAACAAACGGATATAGTGCTGGTTTATGGGGCAGCTGGAGAAAATTCTCGGCAAGCACAAATCCTGTATCGCGAACGGTTTCCAAATCGGAGGATTCCGGACTGTCGTACGTTTATTTCAACTGTTCAGCATCTAAGAGACCATGGAAAATTTGAGAGTGTCAATGCAGATCGAGGGAGAACAAGAACTTAAACAACATTGGCGGCCGAAGAAGAAATATTGGAAGCTGTTGAAAACCGGCCTCAATCAAGTTGTAGAAGACTAGGTCTTGAAATTGGAGTGTCCTCATTTGTTGTGTGGCGGACACTTAAAGAACAAGGTTTACATCCTTATCACATTCAAAAAGTCCAGGCCTTATATCCAGGTGATGAAAAAAAGAGAGTGGAGTTTTGTGAATGGATGATTCAAAAATGTGTTGATATTCCTGATTTTCTAAAAATATTATTGTATACTGACGAGGCTTCATTCACTCGTGATGGCGTGTTCAATATGCACAATACGCATATTTGGAGTGATGAAAATCCTCACGCCATTGGGGAAACTGGGCATCAAAGAAAATTTTCAATAAATGTTTGGGCTGGCATAATAGATCAGTATTTAATCGGGCCTTATGTTCTCCCGAACAGATTAAATGGGCCAGGATATCTCCACTTTTTAGAAGATATTTTGCCAGTACTCCTAGAAGAGATACCGTTACAATTAAGGCAACGGATGTGGTACCTACTAGATGGCGCTCCTCCTCACTTTGATTTAAACGTACGGCAGTTTTTGAACATTAGATTTCCTCAAAAGTGGATAGGCAGAAATGGACCTACTAAGTGGCCTCCGAGATCTCCGGACTTAAATCCATGCGATTTATTTTTGTGGGGTCACATGAAACAACTGGTTTATAATGAACCTATTAATAGTGTTGAACAATTAACCAATAAAGTTAATGCGGTAGCCGAGGAACTACGACAAAATCCAAGACTAATTTCTAATGTTCAAAGTTCTTTGGAAAGACGATTGCAAGTGTGTGCAAATAATAATGGACGGCATTTTGAACAATTACTGTAATAAACTTTATTTTGAATTAATTGGTTTTGCTACGGCAACAGTGCAATTTTTATGGGTAAGTTCAATTTCGATTTATTTTACTTCTTTAAATATGGAAACTAGTAGGTCGGAAAAGGGGACTCTTCCCCAATATTTAAATTTTAGAATTTGAAGTTAAAATTGGTGCAAATCGTTTTTGGTCATTACATACTATTCCCCATTTTAATATGTACGTGTATTTCAATAACACCCTGTATACAGCACAGCAGCTCTACCGTCGCGGTGGCATAAAGGTGTGAGTAAGGATTTGTTGTTTTGAAATTTAATTATTTTAAATTGACTGTAGATACACTTAAATAAAATACAAAAAAGAGTTTTTAAGCCATAGATGGACGCCACTGAATTTTTCATAGAATAAAAAATTTGGTATTATTTGATAAAGAAGTTTTTAAAATCTAAAGGTAAATTCAGAAACCATAGTAATAAAATTTAAATAACTGAACCATAAATACATGAATCTGCAAATAGACACTTGCAGAGATGATCATGATATTCTGTGAAATAAAAGTCATACATAATTTAAATTGAATTTAATAGAAAAATAAATGAAAATGATATATTAACAATATTTTCTCAATTTGTTTGATGGGCATTACATTATACGAACGTTCTTTGCTCAAAAGAGAAATAATAATATTTTAACAATATTTACCATTTATTTGATGAATCAAACTCTAAAAGTAATAAAATTTGAATTATTTTCTAAATCCACTCACCAACATTTAAATTTATAAACGGTAGAAACAATATAACTTTAAAATACTCAATTCATTTTTAAACAGTTAAATTTATAGTCAATAGAAATGGTGTAATTGAGAATATTCTCTCAATTCATTCGCCAATAGTTGGAGAAATATATGAATAATTAAATAAGAAAATTTTTTTATGCCTATCCGAGATATCTTGTTAAAATTAAGGTATATTGTTTTGAGTACTCAAAATAATATTTACAAACTGGTTGTAAATAAAAGAAACAAAAAGCATTCTTAAAACTAAATTATATAGAAAATAAAGAAACACCCGTTTCAAAATATAAGTAAATTGCCTAAATAGATATTGCGAACATATTGTTAAAACTAAAGAAAAAATAATAAATACCAAAATATAATCCTAGGTCTGACAGCGGCACTAGAAAGAGCCCTCTGTTAGACTACATACTGCACACCGAAGCTCATCATGTTACTTGGGGCACGGGACCATCGTAAGAACTTTTGAAATAAAAAGGAAATCTCTGCTTCGCAGGGTAAATAAAACGGACCAGCATATTGGCAAGACAGAATTCCATTCTGTAGCTTTCTGAAAATAACCACCCACGGTTGATGTGGCTCTCTTGTTCATCCACAGGAAGAACCCTATATATTAAATTAAAATATGAGTGTCTTGCCAGACAAAGAAAATGCAGGAGCAGCAAAAGAAATGACTTACCTCTTTTGAGGGTTTTCTCTGCTACCGAGATCCAGCAACACGTGGAAGAAAGTATCTCTCGGCGTCTTACTTGCCTCAGATTTTGGTCAAAAACCACGTTCATCCAAAATAAAAGTAACATAAACATTGGCACTGGGGCCTTTGGATAAAACAAAAAGCTTGAAAACTAATTATTACACAACACTATTCAACACAATGCGGAGCTAAATCCCAAAGGCCATCTTCTTCCAAAGATCAAATCGGACAGGGTCGAAAAAAACAAATTATTTAAAAAAAAGTGACAGTTCGATCATAGAACTAACAAATTTCTAACTAAAAATGTTGCCAACCAATTAAGACCAAAAAGAACTAGTGTTCAGCTAGTTTCTCGTGTCTCATATTTATAGTCAAATATAATTAAAGAAAAATAATTATTATGCAAAATAAAAGAAATGAAATGATAAAATATTAAAATATAACCCTTACTCTATTCCTATGGTTATTTACAAAATTATGCTGTGCCTGTAGACAGATCAAACGAATGTGTGAATTGTACTAGACTGGCAACACTGGTTTGGCAACCTTTTTTGTGAGCGGCGCGCCAATTAATGTGTTCTTTGACAGTTTGAAGGATCTGTTGACGTGTTGTCTTCTCTTTTTAGCTATATGTAGTCGGCATATCGTCTCACTCGTGTTAGGCTCACTCATCATAATGCGCCACAGACACAGTATACTTAGGTATACTGTGACATAGAGACACGATCATCCAGAGGACAATAATGTACAAAAAAATATAGATTAACACGTATGAAAATAAAAATAATAAAATTAAATTTATATTTTTATGTTATTTATGTAATATTAAAATAATGTGTTTTTATGAAATTTAACTGGGTGTTCACTGCACAAATGAACCAATTGAGAAACCGCCCCTGACAGATAAAATTCAAAAATGACCCCCTATAAAGTACCCCCCAGAGGTTCCGACTCTGTCCTTAATTAAATCATTTTACCTAAAATCGGAATGAAGCATAAGTTTAATATTTATGGTTCTTTTTCTTTATCCGTTTTTAGGTTTTCTTCAAAATTCAAAATGTATACACTTTTTCACAAATATCTCGAATATGGTTAGTTTTAGGGAAATTATGTATAGGACAAGAATAATAAAGAATTATATCACAAACAAGTTTTATTTGAACAATTTTCTTAAAAATCTAAAATTTTACATTTTGAAAAAATTTCTCGAATACAGATCATTTTAGGAAAAATTTTTATGGAACAATAATTATAAAGAATAATATAAGAAGTAATTTTTATATAAACAATTTTCTTTTCCAAGCAAAAATAACTAATATATTCCATAAAATATATAAATGACCCTTTATAAAGTACCTCCAGATGTTCCGACTCTGCCCAAAATCAGTTTACCTTAGGCCGGAACAAAGCTTAAGTTTTAAATCTAATCCTTATCTTTAATCTTTATCCGTTTTTAAGTTTTCTTTAAAATTCGAAATTTATACTTTTTCTCAAATATCTCAAATACGGTCAATTTTAAAGAAATTATGTAAAAAACAAAAATTATAGTAAGGAACTTTTATTTGATCAATTTTCATAAAAATTTGATTTTTTATATTTTGTTAAATTTCTCGGATACGTACCATTATAGGAAAATTTTCTATGGAACAAAAATTATAGATAATTATATTAAAAGTAACTTTTACTTAAAGAATTTTCTTCTTCAAATATAACAGATATATTTCATAAAATATAAAAACGACCGCCTATAAAGTTCCCCTTACCCCCGTAGATGTTCCAACTCTGCCCAAAATCTAATCAGTTTACCGCAGGCAGGAATAAAGCTTAAGTTTAAAATTTAGTGTTTTTATTTGAATCCGTAAAAATCCATCGAAAAGTCAAGGTCGAAAAAAAAGAATGATTCCTATACTTTCCTTATCTGTATACAGATAGGAAAGTAAAAAATGTATGACATTGCTATACAAAATTGTGTATTTTCAGTTTAAAAAAATATGACACTATTCCTGGAAAAAAATTATACATATTTGATATATACATAATTTCAACCCTATTAAATTAAATAAAAAAATACATGCAGCATCAATCTGTTATATTGAAAAACATATTTTTTAAATTATTTTATTAAAAAATATTTGTGTATTACTAAAGTTTGATTATCAAATATATTCTAACAATATTATCTTAGAAGTCATAATAATCCAATCCACACACACACTGCAAATAAAAACTATTAATAATTATTAATAAATATTTCTTTATCAATTGCTAAGGTCAATGTGCAATATTCATTCAAAGTATTTTGTCGCTCCTTATTTATTGTATTCTGGTCATTAAACGTAATCACATCATGAGTATTACATTGAAATTATTGTTATTATTTTGTGTTTTTCTGCATACTAATGCCTTGGATTGCAGAGACCAGCAGAATTATGCTGTTGACTGGTAAGTATTATATTAGGACATCTCGTGCGGTAATAGCTCATTATTGACCAGCGTCCTATAATTGTTTTTTTAAGACCGATTAGAAAATACACACTTTATGAACAATTTTTAGTCCAGAAAATATCGTTTTGGCGATCAAGACCGGAAAGTAGACGTTAGGGGCCGTGTATAGTAACGTATGTGTATCTAAATCTGGTAATTCTAGTGAACTGTGGCGAGTGGTGAAAACTCTAAGGGGTCATAAGAAATCGCATAAAAAAATTGAGGCAATTACAGCAGAAGATGGAGAACTATTAACTGATCTTAAAAGTATCTGTAATGAATTCAACAATCAGTTTATCAATGTAGGAAAGAACTTAGCCGAAAAAATTGAAAGAGACGATGAAAAACAATCAAATGATAGGTTTACACTGCAGAACTCAATAGTATTCTTTGAAACAAATCCGTCAGAAATTATTGCAATTATTAAAGATTTAAAAAATAAAAAAGCACCAGGTACTGATGAGATTTGCTCAGAAGTCCTAAAAACTATTGCAACTTTTATTGCTGAACCGATATCATATATATTGAACCAGTGTATCGACAAGGCCATTTACCCCTCAGCATTTAAAACCTCTATTGTTACTCCAGTGTTTAAGAAAGGAGATAGCACTCTCTTTAGTAACTATAGACCTATTTCCCTACTCACTCATCTATCGAAGATATTCGAAAAATTAATAAAAAACAGGCTGAGTTCTTTTTTAAATAAATATAAACTATTGTCTCCTAAACAGTACGGATTTAGGGAAAAAATGTCAACAGAAGATGCTATATTAGATTTAGTATCTCACATACACAGTGCACTTGAACAAAGCAGGCCGTCTTTGTGAATATTCCTAGACTTAAGTAAAGCTTTCGATACAGTTGATCATTACCTTCTCCTACAATCTCTAGAAGATATTGGTATTAGAGGAAAAACCTTAAGACTATTTGAAAGCTACCTTACCAGCAGATATCAGTCTGTAAAAGTAAGTGGAGAGGAAAGTGATCGAAAGCCAATAAAATACGGGGTGCCCCAGGGCAGTGTTCTAGGTCCAATTTTATTCAACATTTATATAAATGGTCTGTTTTCAATTTCTAGTAAGGGCAGAATTGTGGGATTTGCAGATGATACTGCAATCTTCTACGAAGCACCTGATTGGGATGAACTCAAACGCATGGCTGAAAGAGATTTTCTCAATATTAAGACTTGGCTCGACAACAAAGTACTTACTGTAAATTTAGACAAGACTAGATACGTACCTTTCAGCTGCAACATCAGCTGTCTTCCCAAATTTCATCAACTTGACATTTCTATAAATAAAAATCATCTTGCTCTTCAACCTTTAACACAAATAAAATACCTTGGCATATTTATTGACAGTCATCTGAAATGGGAATACCATATAAATTATACCGTAAAAAAACTGCAGCGTATCTTATATAAGTTTAATTTTTTAAAAAGATATCTTTCAGTTAGCTGTTTAACAACTTTGTATTATGCCTTAGTCGAAAGCCATCTTAGATATGGTATTCTAGCTTGGGGAAGCGCACTAAGGTGCCATATCCAAACGCTTGAGATAATACAAAAAATAATTTTAAAACTTATGTTGTCGAAAGAATATCGATACTCAAGTGACCTATTATATGCCGAAAGTCAAATCATGGATCTTAGGCAAATATACTTCTACTGCATGGCTCAAAAATATCAACTTAATACTAAACATGCTAACTTACCTTCTCGCTCCTATCAAACTCGCAATAGAAATCTCCATATCGTGCCACAAGTAGGTAAATCACTTAGTCAACGATCTTAAACCTATCTTGCTCCTAAGATACATAATGAACTACCAGAATCAATAAAAATAATTAAACGTAAAATTAAAATGAAAAAAAGCCTTAAAAAATTATTTTAGAAAATCCACGACAAAAATTTAAAGATATAATAGAATGTAGAAATACTTAACTTGCGTCTGTTTCTAGTCTCAGCTTTAGTTTTTTGAATTAATTGTTTTTTTAACACTCAATAATATAGATTTTGGTTGTCACGTTTTCCCTTAAATTCACTTTAATCTTCTAATTATAAAAATGGATCAATTAAATTTCTCTTATATATTTATATATTTATCCTATTTTTTTTATTCTAATTTTAGTTATTTGTATATTTTAATCTTGTGTTTTTTTATCTTTACAACATTAATGTTTTTAAATAATAATTTATTGTACTTTTTTTTAAGTTTCATGTATTATAATCGAAACAAGTGAGTACTCACTTATCGAGTGTACCTTTATTCATTCAATTACTTTTAATTTTTAAGCTACCATTTGTATTTTTATAACTATATATTTTTTGATGAATAAAACTATGTTACAAGACCGGAAAGTAGTGTTTTGCAGGTCGAGATAAGCAGATTCTAGGGAGAGCCGTAGGCGAGACGTACAATATTTTTTTAAGACCGTCATTTTGATGTAAAATCAATTATTTATGTTATTTAATAAAGTGATTAATATGTACTGAAATTATACGGCTGAACCACAAAAAGCATACGATTTATTTTTCCCCATGGATAACAACAGGTTTAAAATACTTTCAATAAAAAAAGGGACTCTCTAAAAAAAAAACTAACAAAAAAATACACTCTAGAACTTGAAAACCAATATAAAAATTACAGAAACAAACTTCATTCCTTAATAAGAAGAACAAAAAATGACTGTTATCAAAATAAAATTACACAAGCCGGAAACGATTATAAAAAAATATGGAAAATCATTAATAACATAACAGGTAATTACAAAAAAAACTAAGCAAATTGAAAACATATCTACAGAGTGGCTCACGCTCAACGGGACGGAGCTTTATGGGAAAACGACCAAAGATATAAAAAATTCGTTTGGGAGGAATACGTAGGTTACAGACGGCTACAATTTAAAATTTGTTAGATGTATACAGAATGTCCCACATAAGAAAAAAAAAATTAGTTCATTAAAAATTATTCAAGCAAGAGTAAACAATTAATTTTTGGGAGACTTTTTTTCCTTAAAAATTCAACTAAATCGAAAACTAATAATAATAATAGTAATAGGGAACCTTTAGTTAACTGACATTATTTTTGATGTAGTTTTTAATTCTAAAATAAAAAACAGGGTGTTCCATTAAAAATAATATAACTTTGTATATTTTCTCTTATGTGGGACATCCTGTATACATCTAACAAATTTTAAATTGTAGCCGTCTGTAACCTACGTATTCCTCCCAAACGATTTTTTTATATCTTTGGTCGTTTTCCCATAAAGCTCCGTCCCGTTGAGCGTGAGCCACCCTGTATAAAATCAGAAAATAATGATAATATAAACAATAACAAAGAGAAAGCTGAAGAGTTTATTATTTTTTTACAAATTTAGGTGAAAACATGGCAAATAAAATACATTAGGTAGTACCAGTAGTAAACTTTCTTAAAAATGATAAAGTTGAAAACAACATATTCTTTAAACCCGTAACAAAAATGAAGTAACTATTTTAATAAGCAAATTAAAAAATAGCTCCTCACCTGGTCCAGTTAAATTAACAGCAATTACAATAAAAAATATAAATGAATATATTATTCTTCCTGTAACGTATATCCTTTATATTTGCTTTCAATCAGAAAAAATTCCAAGTCATTGGAAGGAATCAATTGTCACACCTGTATACAAATCCGGAGACCTTAGTGAGCTTACAAATTATAGTCCAATTTTTGTTATCAATAATAAAGACCGACAAGAATTTTTTTTCAGGTCGAGACAAGCAGATTCCAGGGCGAGCCGTAGGCGAGACCTGGAAACTTGGAGAGACCTGCTTAATACTAATTTTCGGCCGCGTGACGTACAATATTTTTTGATACCGACACTTCGACGTAAACCCAATTATTTATTTAATTTATTAATAAAGTGATTGGCAATAAATTGAAACGTTGTTACCATAATAACGAAAGCAAGGAAGACTGTATTATCAAACAGTGATCGAAAAAATGAAAAACAGGGACCGTTAATAGTATATTACGTAACAAGAGTTGTAAGTAACTCATTACGCACGAAGCCGCACAGCAGCGAGTGCGTAGTGCGCAGACAGGTTATTTTTCATCTCACTCGAGAGTATTTATAATAACTATTTTCCATTTCACATTGTTTTTGTCTGATTCACCAGCTTGTGGATTGAACAATAACAGTGTGAAACAGAAAATGGTTATTATAAATAGTCCCGAGTGAGATGAGCAATAAAAATGGCTGCACCCATAGAGTCGCATCTCGTTCTATTAATACAATATGCACATTGGCTTTCTATCCCACTCCAGTTCATTGGTCTTGACCTGCAAAATACTACTTTCCGGTCTTGTAACGTTAATTACTAAAAAGCAAATTTAACCCACAAGTAAAACATCTTAAAATCAAACAAGATTAAAAATGTGATTAATTTCATTTTAATTATTAGGTCAACATTAGTAATATTTTTAATTTTGACAAAAGATAATTATAATAAAATAGTAAAATACTTGCTAAGATATCACAGTGGATCCTCTAGTCAAGCAGGGCCGAATCTGGAGAAGAAGCTACTAAAGGACCTCGCTCTTTTCTTATGTAAAGTGGCGACCTGTCAAATTTTCTAAAATTTTGGTATGTTGTTGTACTCAACCTAGTAACCAAAAGGTGAATTGTTTATTAAAAGATATTTTATTTTAAGAAATGTACAAAAATTACAAATACCCTGTATTCTAAAATTTCTTCTGTCAATTTTAACCATTTTCTTAGTCAATAATAATTTTACCACTGTTTTAGGAGGTATGCATTTTAAATCGGATACCACGACCAGTGTTCGAGATACAGGGGTTTTGGTCAGATTTTAATAAAAAAGGACGGTTTAAAATATTTAGAGATGCAGGGCGATTAACGATTATACTTTTAACCCTTTTCTTGGCGTCGTATCTCTCAAGATACCAATTTTCCCG